AAGCAAACCATCATTATGGCATCCTCTTGTTCCTTTAAAAGAAAAACACTCCACTGTCTGTATATGAGCACAACATTCGTGCTACACACCTCTTCTTAAAGAAAACAAAAATAAATACTGAAATATTCTCAGTAATAATCCTCGTGTTGTCAAACTCAATCTATCGTTGATGTAACAATTGGAATGGATCCAGATCGATATCAATATTAGAGCACCATTCAGAGTTAAACACCTAGTGTTTAAAATGTGTACTGCAGTCTAAATTCTAAACATCATAGAGAGCTGCCCCCCCTTTAGAGTGGATGCTCACTCAGGTCACCATGTGGTGGACTCTGAAGCTTCAGTGTTTATCCAGCTCTGCATGGGTCTGTAAACCTTCCTGTGTTCTAACCTCTCTCCATTTTTTGATAATTTAACATTTAACGGATGTGATGCGTAACAGGAGGGTCTGAGAAAACAAACAAACATCTCAAAGGGGGCGTCTGTTGGCTTAGCGGTGAGGTTTGGCACCGTATGTACAGATCCTGTGGTCCTCGAAGTGGGCGATCAGGGTTCGACTCAAACCCCTCGGTCCTTTACCCCATGTCACTCCCCTCTCTCCTCCTGTCATTCACTACTCTCTCCACTGGCCTTTAATAAAAACATTAAAAAGTCCAAATAACTCTTTATAGCGACGTGATGAAACACTAACCTTCACCATCCGTTCCATCCCACTCACCGATTGTTTGGTTTGACAACTTTCACTGCCTGTGATCAAACTGTCTCCTCCTTCCTCTTCCTCCTCCTAGCAAACCACAAACCCCATCGTAGCCAAACAAGGAAGATTCAGGACTCTCGTGGACCCCCGCTGTCACCACAAAAAACATTCACACTTTGACCAAAACCGCACGGCAAGTTAACCTCAAAGGACAGAAACTAAAACCACAGAGGGCGTACGAACTGACCTCAGCAAGAAGTCATCCAGGACTGTTACCAAGGACTACAACTTCACCATCGTAGGACTACAATTACCAC